CGGCCTGTCTTCCACTCATACCACTTTAGTTTGGTGTATAACCTACAGAGAGAGCAATCAAAGCTGCCTCTTGGCAGGCTCTTGCTTCCCTTTAACAAGAAGGAGAGAAAAGGGAGAGGGAAAGGGAGAGTTTGGCTCAGGGCCCAGTATCCTACATCAGTTTAGACTTTTCCTGAGCAGAAGGTAATGCCAGGGGCCTTCCCAGGGGACTGTACTAATGATACCAACTGATGCCGATTGGACTTCTCAAGGTTTTTTATCCCAGGCTTTCCCATGTGATTTTTATCTCATGGCAGGAGCTGAAGAGTAAGGATTTCTACTTTGCATATGGAAACTGGAGCCTTGGAGAGTTTAACCAGTGTTATCCCTGGCTGTTTTACTTCTAGGTACACACAGAATCGATAATATATGAAATTAAGGACAGAGTTGCTCAAGATGAGGGTAACTGTCTTTGGTTTCCAGCTGCTTCAGCTGTCAGCTAGAATCAGTATTGAAGATGGCAAGACCTGGGCATTCGTGTGACGCACCCATAGTTAAGTATCTTGCCCAAGATTACAAGATAAGGAAGTTGTAGACATGAAGCCTTGTTTATCTGATATGTGATTCCACATTAAAATAAATATCACATTAAATTCTAGTGCTTCTGAAAACACTTCAGACTGAGATCATCCTTGCCTCAAAGATATATATTTTTCCCTAGCTATCTTTCTTTCTGTCCTAGGTTGGTTTTCTGAGCCCTGAGCAGACATTCTTGGGCAAGGTAAGTATTGAGGAAGTGGACTCAGGAGATAGTTTGTAAAGAATCTGGGCTGGAGAGGCAAACTGGCGTATAGCCTTGCCCTGAACTCAAGAAGCTCCAGAAAGTGAAGTGTTGGTGGTACCCCTCTCTGAGGGGTGGGGCCTTCTCTTTCACATCCTACTTCAGTTAGTCAAGAAACCTGAGCACTTGAGGAAAAAAAATAATCATCACAGTAGTTATCTACAAATTATATATATATAATGTATTTTTTTTTGAGACAAGGATTTTTGCATAGCCTTGGCTGTCTTGTAGACCAGTCTGGCCTCAAATCAGAGATCCACCTGCCCCTGACTCCCAAGTGCTGAGATTAAAGGCATGTGCCACCACCATGGGGCCGAAGTACATGATCTCGTGGGCATTCTGGGGCAAGATGGCTTCTGTAGCCTGAGGATCAATCTCCGGAAGGCTCAACTCTAAAGGAAGCACAAGTGATAGACAGGTGTACCAGCCTAGCAAAGGGGTAGAAAGTGGGTGCCAACACCCCCCCTCCAATGACTTCACCCACCAATTCCATTTTTAAAACTCTACAAACTGGGAACCTCACTCATCATTGCTGTCCCAGTAAGCTACGCTCTGTTACTGGTCAAATTCTGTTTATCTTTATTTGATGTTCGTATGGGAATTGTTCTGCGTCCTCAGAGCTCTGGCAGCTGCTGGAACTGGAGCTGCTATTAGTGGTTTTAGTGCAGATGTAGTCATCGCCGTTATATTTACTCTCTTCTTCCTCTAGAATTGTTACCAAAACTTTGTTTTTTATTTCTATGTGCATTTCCCTCCTCTGACACTCTATAGCCTTCAGGTATCTCTTCGTGTCTTCCAGTATCATTGGCTAATGTAAAAATATGGACTTCCTTCTCAAATGTAAGCGGTAGAACACTATTTCTGTGGCATGGCTGGAGTCCTCTGGGTGAGATGGCCTGTTACCCCTAACTTCTAGCTGAACACACACAGATGTGTTCAGCTCTCTCAGATACCTACTGTGATGGTTGATATGTATTGCCAGTTTCACTGGATCTGGTATCACTGGAGGCACACAGCTCCGGGCATGGCTGTGGTGAAGTTTCTAAATTCAGTTAGTTGAGATGGGAAAACTTTCTCTAAAATGTAGGTGGGCTGAGGTCCTGGGCTGTATAGACAGAAAGATGTGTGTTGAGGTCCAGCATTCATCCCTGCTTTCTGATTGTGAACGTACTGTGAGCAGCTGCCTGAAGTTCTTGCTACTGTGCCTTTCCCACCTTAATGGATGAGTCCAAACAAACATGATAGAGCCATTCTGGTGAGTAAGTGAAATCATGAAAAAGTTAACAGAGAGCTCGGTAAAGCTAGCAATTATTAACTATTTGCAGCAGATGCCTGATGTATGTATACCTAGTGACATTTTTCACTCACAGGTTCAATAGATGTCTCCTGAGTATCACTGTGCTGAGCTTCTGTGAACCACATGGATACTGCTTTAAACTGTTACATTCAACTAACCCGCAGAGATGTACGACCCAATTTGACAGTGGTGGGAGAGCGGAAACCTCTTTGAAATGCTGAGTATCTAAAGCTGGGCTTAGCAGTACAGGCCATAATCCATCAACTCAAGAGGCCAAGGCAGGGGAATTTCAAGACCTGCCTGGACTACAGAAGGGAGTTCAAGGACTTACTAAGTTAGCGACTTAGTAAGACTTTTGTCCTAAAATAAGAATTAAAAAGAGGACTGGGTTTAAGCTCAGTGGCAGACCACTTGCCTGATGTGTTTGAGGTCCCAAGTTTAATCACCAGTACTGGAAAAAGCGTTGAGTGTTTGACACATGATTCTCTGTGGTTTTTAGTTACGGTGGTCAAATGTGGAATTGCTGCTGCCTTCTTAACCTGCCAGGCTACCTATCTTCTCAAGTAAGATATCTAAATCGCTTGTTATGCTTCTGATAATTGACCCCCAGCCCCAGTGACCTGACAGACGACTTGATGTCTCCATTATTCTAGTGGATTTTCCTCATTTGTATCTCTCATGTGACACTGGACGCCATGCTGTTTTCACCGTGCAACATTTTACAGAAAGGGAGCAACTATTTCTTCCATTTTGAAAATTATTTAGGATATAAAAATCTGACAGCCTTACAGCATTCCACCGCTATAGCTAGCATTCTACTGGGCTATAGAAATGTTCGATTTACCATTTCAAAACCAAATGTGAGAGACATTTCTGAAAGCTGAGTTGAGCTTCTAGACCTCAGTAAGAAGGTATAAAACAAACAAGTGTTATTGCTCCCTGCTGGTGTGGTTTGTTTTAAGTTCTGCTGAACCTGGGAAGAAAGAAATGTACTGTAATTCACAAGCTGACACATGATGTGTTGTTCTGTTCTCATCTCTTACAGAGATGTGCTCTGAATTCAAAGAAAAGACTGTTTCTCTGATTTAGGAGACACTGACTATTGCAACATCTGTCTCGTTCAGGACTCAAACTGGGGGAGCAACTGAAGTGTACCCATTCTGAGTGCCAAGTTATAGAAGGTGTTTTCTTTTTTCTTTTTCTCTTGGAATAAGATCAGTCTGAAAATACGACACGTCCCTTAAAACTTATTTTTAAATTTTCAGATTTCATGGGATCAGTCACCCTGACGTGGGACTTTCTCTGTTTCAAAACTGGGACCCCTACGCACTGTGAAAACTCCAGACCCCGTGCAAATGGCATCATGTCATGGCTTTCTGGTGACTGTATCAGTGGCAGGCACTTGCTCTGTGGAATACTCTAGGGTGGTGATGTCCTTAGGATGACTTAGGTAGAGTGTGTGACACCCCCTGACACCAGGCTGCAGAACAGCTGAACAGTCTATGGCATGTTCTGGGTGCACAGGCTTTACAAGTTAGTTCTGCCTTCGACACTCCATGGCCTCCATAGATTCTGTGACTCTCCTGAGGAAGGTGTGGGTCTCCACAGCGCATCTGCTGGGAAAGTAGCATTACTGTTATTCAAATAAGGCACGGAGCAAAAAGGCCTTGGGGTAGAAGCAATGAGGACAAGTTACATCTGAGTAATTCTGTTTGATGGGAAAGAAAGTTTGTTAAAGAAAGTCTTACAGTAATATTTTACCTTTAGGTTAGGCTCTTAGAGAAGGCTCATGCTCTCTCACAATTTGAGTCTGTGGTGATGGTGTGATAATAACTTAGAGGAATATGATTGCCTTTGTTTTGTTTTTTCATGAAGAAAAGAGGTCTGAAGAAAAGGAAGGAGAGACAAGCTGGGCCAATCCCAGAGAAGAGAAAGGGGGATTTTCTTTTCTTTTCTTTTTTAACCTTTAACTTTCTTTATTTAGTTGTTCACTTTACATCCCAATCATAGTCCCCATCCTCCTCTTCTCTTGGTCCCTCTTTCCCACCCTCTCCCGCCTCCCTCCTACCCTTCAGGAAAAGGGGGCCTATATATTGCCAATATGGGAACTTATTTATCTTTTAGAGTATATATAACTTATCTTAGAGCCCTAGTAGGAAATCAAAGGCATATTTGAGATAAAAATGTATTAAAGGGATTTCTAGAAGGGGTAGCCACGGTTTAGGAAAGGCATTAGGGGATGCTATACATACATGCAAACTACCAACAGTCTGAGCTGTTAGCAGTGCTGGCCTGAAGATGCAAAGGAAAGAAAGTACCTGAACTTGCAGAAAAAGCACAAGGGAGCAACAGTACTTCATGTAGGGAACTATCTACTCTGATCCATTTGAATCCCTGGCTGTGCCCTATTTGTGAAACCAACAAGACATCAAGTATAGCGGTATAAGCCACGCAGACCACCACTGAGAGCCCATAGCGCAGTGCACAGGAGCAGGCCACTCATGGAGCTCCTTACCCTCCTCAGATGGTCCTGCTCAGCTCTCTCTTCACTCGCTGCCATCTTAGCACATCCTTTCAATCACGGAGTGCCTGTTGACTACACTGGGTGGACTTTTTTTTTTTTTTAATTCTCATCTGAGACACATACAGTTAAGTGGAGAAAAATGTGATCAGCCCTTTCTTTGGGTCTCTAAGTAGCTCATGTTAATTATTAAACTTGCTCTAAGGTCATTTGTGAACTTTCACTTTGGTGCACATTTGGCAGGGACAGAAACAAGTTAGGTGAGTTACAGTCTGACTGGAAGCGAGCAGCCTGCAGGCTGCCCTGTAACCAGGTAACGCGGCATCGTCTAGAGAGGAAAGATTTCTCCTTTGAACTGCAAGACAGACACCGAGTCAGGTACTGTTTGATTCAGAGACGTCTTCAGTTTCTAACTCTGCGTCTCCGGCTGTCGTTGCTGTGAACAAAAGGAGGTGGGCGGTGCAAGGTAAGAACATGGAGGAGATTGTGTCTTTCTGGCTCCCAGAGGAAGGGGAGCTGGGAGAGGAGGCAAAGGAGATCAGGGAGGGGGCAGGAGAAAATAAAGGCAGAAGTAGGGAGGGGACTTAACTGACCGTACAGCGCGCCTCTCTGTGGCTGAAACAGTCTACTTAAAAAAACACAGAGAGACACTGAGTTTATCCTTAGGGAGGACGAATGGACTCGAACACCACCACACCCAGAAAATGCGATCTATTGTTGATATGACTGTTTTGTTTCAGAGGAAAAGAAGTACTTCTGAACTTAAAAGCGTATTGAAGCCCAGTGTGTGGGGCATACCTCCATTGTTCTAGCTTGGGACTAGGCGTTAAGATGAAATATTATAAAACAATGTGCCCAAATTGGATTACATGCCATATAGAGCATGCAAGCCGGACCCTGAGCTTTCCGTCTAGGTATCAAATCCTCCTTTGCGCCATTCTTCTGTGGTAGATGCATTACTGAAAACTGGGTGTTTGCAAATTGAATTCAATTACAAAGAGACTGAAGAATGTAGGGAATTTTGCAATGTAAAAGAACACTTGGTAATGTCAGCACTCCTGTCACGCCTCAAAAGACCCCAGACCTCCCCTTTTCTGGGTGACTAAGCACAGGCACACAGACTCATTTTCTTTTCCTGGCTTCCGGTGCAATGTTCAGCATCTATTTGGTATGCAGTAAACCTTCCCAGTCCTGAACCAAATGTAAGTTGTCTATTTTGCACCAGCTGAATCAGGACATACCTGTACGATAAATCCACTGAATTTTGGGAGCAAGGTCAGACATTCTTGTTTGAGATTATCTGGGCTGGTGCTTTTCTGCAATGGTATAACTACTACCACATAGAGTGTTTTCTTAGCATTTTACATTATTGTATATGTAATAACATGGGTTTATTCCTTTTGGTTTTCAAGCTTTCAGAGAACCTCAGAGCCAGTGTTTTGGGAGTATTTGTCTACTCACTTCTGGTGGGCACTTGGGAGCAATCTCTAGCCTTTCTAGAACAGCATGAGAGGTTTCAGCCAGGCTGCGTGAATTCTGTTTTCCTTGGCATGGAGAAAAAGCCCATTATTCCAGATCTGTAAAATCAGACGTGCGATATTTAGATATGGATGAACTAATTAAAAATCTTTGAGTACTACATCAGGCCCTCACACTTGTGGAAATGGACGGCTGGTCCTGGATCTCTTCCCAGTGCCCTCTGGAGAGGCAAGGCATGCATGGCGGTAAACAGACAGTAGCTGGCTCAGGTGCCCAGGATGTGAGCTGGCAGTTTGAGGGGAACTACTGAGGAAAGGTTCTGTTGAGAACGAGGCCAGGCGCTCATAAAGCCACGAGGGTTAGCAGCTTAGGTAGAGGCTGTCAGATGGAAGCCTTGCTTGCTTGCTAACAAGAAACACAGTGTAGCTATCATGCAGGGTTCAAATCCAACAGTCACAGGACAGGAGGCTGGGGAATGAGAAAAACAACATGGACCCCTCTCAGGTTACTAGGGAGCAGAGGACTAGAAGTTATTTCTATGATTATTGCTTTTTGTTTCTTGCACAGTGGTGAATTAATGAATGGTTTCAACATGCATTAAATAACTATTGAAACAAGATGAGCTGCGTTGTGATTTTCTATAATACTTTTCATATGCTCCCTCTCTCCTGAGCATATGAAAGATGGTGGGTGCCTCTGGAGACACTAAGACTACATTATTTATTTACTTATTCATTCAATTATTTGAAATGTACTTACTTCTCTCCCTCCCCCCTACTTTCTTCCACCCCTCCCATCCCCCTTTTAAACTCACAGCTTCTTATTCTTTAATTATTATATGTACATGGGTAAGTATAGAAATGCAGTTCGATGAAAGGAGAAGTCTTCAGTTGCCTCCAGCTCTCCCTCTAGAGGCGAGGCCTTGGGTGCTTCGCCTTGTCCACGCTGGCAGGTCAGCTGGTGCCGTCATTGTTTGGGATTCATTTAAGCAGCGTAGTATTATTATTTCATGGGTGTAGCTTTCCGGTCATATCTAGCAGACACTACCATGTAGCGCATTGCCTGGTCCTGAGGCTCTTAGAATCTTTCTACCGCCTCCCCACTCTCTCCGTGTTCTCAGAGGCTTAGGTGTAGGCGTTCGTTGTGTTGTAGATCAGTCTGGACTGTCACCCCCCCCCCAGACTCAGTTATTCTTTACGTTAGACCACTGTGGCTTTCCATAATAGTCTCCATCTACTGTGGAGGGAAAAAAATCTTCTTTGATGAGTGAGAACTACCCTTCTTGGGCTAGCCTTACATTTACCTCATGTCTTTAATTTTCCGTTCCAGTATACCTCATTGACAGTATACAGGCAAAAAAAAAAAAAAAAAAAAAAAAAAAGAATTTTTATTTCACTTTATGTTTTACAAGGCACAAAACTGCATTGCACCAATCAGCAGTAAACATGCTCCTAATAACTGAGCCATCTCAAGAGGCCTGAGCTAACTGGAATGATGCTTGCCTGGCTGATCTCTCTGCTGAGTATGGAATTACTACTTCTAGCAAGTAAGTAGCAAGTGTGTGAACAGAGGACAGGTCAGACCACTAAGTGACTCTGGGATTAGTAAAGAAAATACTGCCTTGCTTGTAGACTATAGACACACACAGGTTTTACTTGCTCACACAAAATGTGAGTGAGAGCATTATTTTAGAAGGAAGTCTTGCAGTATCTCAATTGTCTTTTTTTTTTTCCTTAATGAGTTTTGACAAATTAGCAAACAATATGGGGTTATTTGTTAAATATTTATGAATAGATATGTCAACCTTTAATGACCAGTGGGATGGTTGGTACAATTCAAATATTTTAATAATAGCTTAACTTCTTCTATAATCCCTTTTTTGGGCTAATAGATATAATTCTTATTAGATTTTATTGTTATATCTTCCCAAAGGGATTGTGTCTTAGTGATTAATGGCTGGTTGTATTAAAATTACCCTTTTCCCTCTAGTCATGCTTCCAATTTCTCTTTGAGTTTGGTAATTCTCTGTATTTTCTTATGACATTTTTGTTTTATTTGTATAAAAGTATATAGTCATCTCTGGTGTCTTAGGATGGTTTGATAGGGTTGATAAGTTGATATGAATGGGTTTCCATCATTCTTTGGTGTGTAGTGAGCCATCCACATGGTTGCTCTACATAATGCCCTGGGCTAGTTCATAGGCGAGGTCTGGTTTATCCTTGAGATTTTCTGACATAGAAATGAAGCAGTTATCTATAGCTAGCATATAGGTAGTACATAACATTTTGCTTATTATCACATGGAAGTGCTGAGTGATTTTTGATAGTCTCCTTAAAGTGGCTTTACTTTGACCAAGACATATCTGGGAATGTCCTCAAAGGTGTCATTAAATGCAATTTGGACTAGCATCTAAAGTTCAAACTCCTTCTCCCCCATTTAACAGAGGTTCTACAATATTCTTGCTTTAGTCCATCTATGATCATTCAAAGCAAAAATTATAAAGTTCTTGAATGCACTGGGGAGTCATTATGATTATGTGTTCAAAAGGGCTTAAAAGGGAAAATTACAGGGAGTCAAGAAGAAAGGAAGCAGGCACATCTCCAAGAAGTTTGTCCTATTCCCAGGAAATAGCAACATAAGAAATAAGTAGTAAACTTCATATTTGAATGTGGCTGTGTACTAAATAGTGGAAAAGAGAAGAGAGGCAATGTGTATTCATAGGAAGCAAGTGTGTCTCTTGAGACTATTTCTAAGGGAAGCAGAAATTCAGGATCGTCCTGATGAACATCAGGGTTCTGGATTGCTAGAATGAGAGTGGTCAATTTTTCTTAAAGTAGGACTCTGAAGGTGTGTTCCCTGGACCAATAATGCCTGAACAGGAGTGAGCATTCTGAATCACAAACTCTCTTAATAGGGCCCAGTGATCCATACTTCATCCAGCTAAAGTCTACTTTAAAATATTGGAGGCTCCAGTGGCTTCTATGTCCCTTCACAACTAGTATCTTCTCATATTGACAGACCCCTACGTGAGTTTCAAGATTGAACCTGCAGAAGGAAGCCTTGCAGGGGGAACATGGATCACAGTTGTTTTTGATGGTAGGTTTGGGCTTTCCTGAATTTGAGTGTTGGATTTATTGATCCAAAGTCCAAAGAAGTATGAATCCTGGCTGCCTTGTCTAAGAACAGCTCTAAAGAAGCGCCTGAGTAGGGTGAACCGATTGACCCAACTCTGTCTCTGCAGATGCTAACTGCCCTGAGCCACAGCAGAGGCCACTGTAGCATTGGTGTCCTCCTGTTGGGATGCTTGGAAGACGATGAGCTGACATGGAAGTGCACAGTATAGTTCTAAGCGCGGTCTTGGCTGTTGCTCTTGCAAATGATTCCATGTTAGGAGCTTCTAAGCCATGCGTTACCTTACGTACCCATGTCCACCATGGCACAAAGCAACTTGGAAGGCTGAAAAACTCTTTCCTAGGGAGTAATCAGACGCGAAGAGAGAAAAAAATTGGTAGGCTCATAAAAGAACTTTTGTGAAACACTGTAATTGCCTTTGGAAATGAGTGTTCGTTTTATCCTCAGGCAAAAGCAACGTCTTACGTTGCCCCCCTGTGGCCAATGTTTGCATTGTCCTGTGTATCTCAGCCTGCGATTTCTCCTGTGTTTAGGACTGGAGACCCGCGTTCTTTACCCCAGCAATGGCTCTAGGCTGGAGATAGACCTGGTGAACGTGGCAGAACCTGCCTTAAGGATCCCCTGTGATGTCTCTCCTGTCTTTGCGGATTTGCCTGTGGTGACATGCCAGACAAGGTACACTTGTCTGAAATACAAAACCTGTCAGGGCGAAGGGGCTCTGCTTTTCTCAGTAGCTGATATGTTAGACAACTCCCGCACTGACTGCTGTTATCAGGTGTGGCTTTAAAAAAACACCTTCGAATATGCTCCTGTGCTTTAAGAAAGACCTTTCCCTTTAATCTCTCTTGGAGTAGGAAATAGAAACATAAAGCTCTGGCCATGTCAGAAAGGACAAATAAAAGAAAATAGAAATTATCACGATCACAAACAAAAACCATCACCCACCAATGTTCCTCTGTTTTGTAAAACTTTGACTTTTCTTTTTTACTTCTATCTTTGAGCTTATAATATAAGCATATCATTTTCCCCTGTTCCTTTCCACCCTCCAAAGCTGCCTACATGCCCTTCCTTGCTCTCTTTCAAATTTATGGCTCATTCCTCCATTTATTGTGTATGTGGTGTGTGTGCATACACACATACATACTTGTATGTACGTTTTCAGGGTTGAGCATTTAGCACTACATAATCAACTGCTGTGCTCTTCCCTGAGGAAGCCCACCTCTCCCACTCTTAGCTCTCTCCAGGTGCCTGTAACTCTTTGTGTAGGGTTGGGGCCTCTTGGGCTTTTCCCCATTCACTTTGGCATGCTTATTGTCCTTGTCCAGCTCATGGTTCAGCAGTTATGTCAGTGAGACATTACAAGGAGACACAGTCTCACAGCAGACTCCCTGACCCTCTGGCTTTTACAATCTTTCTAAAGGCCTCAGCATGAAGTAAATGAGTAATCAATAAATGGGAAACATCATTATTTACGTTGTCATGGGAAAAATAATGCATGGATTCTAACCTTTCCTTTTTATATCTAAGGTGTTGTGCAGTCGAGAACTGAACCTGATCAAAAAGAGAAGGATGAAACTATATATGGAGTCAGGGAAGAGAGTTGAAACAGTCAAGAAAAAGGAAGGAAAATGAATCTATTAATACATAACTGATTGAGCATTAGCTACTCTGTGACCTAAAAAAAATTATATTTATCTCTTGCCATCTACTCTATTTGGGTGTTAGTTCTTTTTGTCTAGAACTTTCAGAGGTGCTATTGTTACTAGCATGTGATCTCTCCAATTTTTAAATGTAAGCTCTTTGTGCTATGATCTTGTCTCTTAAAACCCCCTTTATTCTATCCCAAAAGTTTAGGTATGTTGTGTTTTAATTTAGTTCTAAAAATGTTTTAGTTTCCTTCTTGATTTCTGTCTTGACCCACTTTTCATTTAGTGGTGAATTATCCCATTTCTGTAAGTTATATACATTTTGGTTTTTGTTTGTTTGTTTTTTGGTTGTTGTTTGTATCCAGCTTTAATTTATAGTGGTCATATAGAATGCAGGATATAATTTAATTTTCTTATATCTGTTGAGGCTTGTTGTGTGTGCAAGTATGTGGTTAATGTTAAAGAAAGTTTCATGAGCTGCTGAGAAGAAAGTATATTCTTTTGTGTTTGGGTGAAATATCTGCTATGACCATTTGATTTATGATATTATTTAACTCTAGCATTTCTTTGTTTAGTTTTTGTCTGGATGATCTGTCTATTGGTGTGGGTGATGTATTGAAATTTCCTACTATCACTGTGATTTCAGCTATAGTAGTGTTTCTTTTATGAACTTGTGCCATAGTGTTTGGTGCACAGATATTTAGAGTTGCAATATCCTATTGGTAAATTTTTTCCTTGACGAGTATGCACTGTCCCTTTCTATCTCTTCTAACAAGTTTTGAAGTATACTTTGCCAAATATTAAAATGGCCATACCTGCTTACTTCTTGGACCTATGCTGGAAACCAGCTCCAGCTGCAAGGGCTAAGATCCCATGATGGAGAAGGGGCATTGTTGACTTTCAAACAAGTGGCCCCAAACAGCTCAGTCATCTTTATTTATACAGTTACAATCCTGCTGGCCTGAGCAGTGACATCATTGATTACTTTATTAAAAAAAATAACATCAACATTACATCAGCCCCCTCATTACAAAAAGCTCCCAATAGTTTCCCTTTCTGTTTGCCCCCTCCTGCTGGGTCAATTACCCCACCCAACCATATTTTGCACTGCAAAGCACAATTTCAGCATGCCAAAATTAAATATCAAGCCAGGCATGTCCTGTTGACATGAGCATGTACCCAGCTGGTAACAAATGCGGTTACAGAGACAGATTAACCATTTATGGGAATAAGTCCATTCATCAAATAGCACACCTTTGTCATACTACTTTTTAATTGTAGATATATATGGGCCCAATGAACCAATGAACCAAGGAACCTTTCCTTGTATGCACCTATCAGTGTCTGATACTATCTTTCTAAGAGCCGTTTTTAAAGTCTCTATCGATCAGTCACAGCTTTAAGTCTCTGTTGATCAGACACAGCTTCCTCAGAACAGTTATGCGAGCAGGAACCACTGTTCTCCACAACTGCCACAGGCTTACTCAGTGTGACTACAGCTGTTTTTCTAGGAACATAATTACATGTCCCAAAATCCCAGGATTAATGGCCACATCTGGAATATCAATAGAGAGAGAGGAAAGGAGGGTTTTATTTCTCAAAAGAGTGTTGAGAAAAACATGGAGTCATCTCCAGGGTTTTCCACCTGCGTGATCCCAGCCTTGCCTATATATGACAAAATGAAACTATATTGCTATAAGTTAAACAGCATAGCAAAAGCAAGGAGAGCTTGTATCATACGTGATCCAGGTAATTAGCATAGAGACCACCAAAATTCACCATAGGTCCTTGTCAAGTGGGAAGGGGGACCCTAAGGGCTTTGCCACAGTAGAGTCCAAAAGGTTTCCATGGGCTTTGCCAATGTAGAATTCCATCAGTGAAGCACTCATACACTGTTCCCTGAAGATGTTTATGGCCACTGCCAGGGCTATTTTTTTTTTAATTTTATTTTTCTTTTTAGTTACATTTTGTTAACTCTGTGTCCCAGCTGTATCCCGCTCCCTCATTCCCTCCCCAACCCCACACTCCCTCCCTGGTCTCCTCCCTGCCCCTTTCCAAGTCCACTGATAGGGGAGGACCTCCTCCCCTTTCATCTGACCCTGTTTTATCAGGTATCTTCAGGGCTGGCTGCAAAGTCCTCCTCTGTGGCCTAACAGACTGCTCCTCCCCGGGGGCGGGGGTGGGGGCGTCAAACAGCCTGCCCTTGAGATCCTGTTAGAAATAGTCCGTGTTCCCCTTACTTTGGAAAACTACTTGGTTACTGAGCTACCACGGGCCACATCCGAGCAGAAGTTCTAGGTTATATCCATAGATGGTCCTTGGTTGAGTGTCAGTCTCAGAAAAGACCCTGTGCCCAGATATATTTGGTCCTTGTATAGCTCCTATCCTTTCCATATCATACTAACTTCCCTTCTTTCATATGATTCCCTGCACTCTGCTGAGGGTTTGGTTATGAGTCTTAGTGTCTGCTTTGAAACACTGTTAGGTAGAGTCTTTCAGATGCCTTTTGTATTAGATAAATAGAAATGGGGTAGGTATGCCAGCCATTCATTACTTCATTACTTCTATTAACTGCAATAATGATCATGAAATCTATCCTCGACTGTGTCCCTGCTGCTGCAGAACATTTGACTGTATTATTGAATTAATCTTCACCACATTCCTGAGAGCTGGACCACAACACTAACCATTTTAGAGATGAGTAAGTTGAGACATGTTGTACTTAAGATATTAAGAGCACACAGGAACCTGGAGTCTGACTGCAAGATTTGCACTATTCCTCAGGCTTAGAGAGCAAAGAAAGTATCTGACCCAAGATATCCACAGATCTTTCAGCTAACGGTAACATTCTCAGGTAAGAATGCAAAAGTAGAGGCCTGGAGAAGCAGCTAAGAAATGTAAAACTTTGGCTCAAAATGCACTGTACAAATTGCAAAGTTAATTCCCCTGTGCTTCTGTTATTTTAGCTTCCAGCCTAGAGAACAATGCTAACCCCTCCTGACCTGCCAAGCCCAGAAACATGAGGATGGACACTCACGTATGGATACTGATCTAGCCGATAGCCCTCGTTGACTGCTGAGGGGTTTAGGATAAGGTGTCGAAGTTGGCCGAGGCTGAATCTGCCACAGAAGGGTTCAGTTGAACTGGTGAGGACCCCATCAGAGCTGGAGCCTTCTAGGCCTGTATATAATTTCAATAAAAAGGAACAGAGGCATAGCCATGAGGCACGACAGTATGTGTACAGGAAATGAACAGTAACATCGGCCCCATCTGCCTAGAGAGAGGTGGGAAGAATTCAGAGGCCCAGCACCTTCCAATTGGGAGGTTCTAGCTATGAGAAACGCTTTCTGGCTGCCACAGAACATGGAATAATAATACCATTTTCTCTGTGTGCCAAGATGTGAAGCTGATTAGAAGCAAGAGAGAGGGAATATCAATAGAAAATTAATTATCAATTTATTTGTTTTATGTGCATGTGTGCCTAGGTGATTGTAAGTGTACCATGCGCACGCAGGAGCCAATGAATGTTAGTCAAAGGAGGGAATCAGATCACCTGGGGCTGGAGTGGGTGCTCAGAGCTGAACCTGGGTCCTCTGGAAGAAGAGTAAATACACTTAAACAGACCCATTTCCCTATCTCTTCAAGAAAACTTTTCAGTTCACTTTAGGAAGAGTTTTTAGAATACATCATCCAGTGGTGAGATTGGGCAACAAAGCACACTAGCCCAGTTTAAGAATGTCTTGTCTACATTCTCATGTAATAATTCTCTTGTATCAGCTAGAAATAGTGCTGCACACTCGGGAAGCTGTGACAGGAGGGTCACAAGTTCAAGGCTGCTCTGAACAACTCAGTGAGAAACCGTCTCAAAACATTTTATAATTGAAGGGGTGTGTCAGTATGGCACAACTGAAGAGCTTGTGAGGAGCACCTGCCAAGCCTTGAATTTTGATCTCCATCAGCACACTCACAGAAATCACTGATAAACATTTCAATTTTGAACTAAACAAGATTTTTAAAAACAAAGCCATTGCCATGTATCCCTAGTCTCTTCTCCCTGTTTAGAATAAACTCTCTGGCAGTGTTTCTCTCCACCAAACTGCAGGAAGCACACTTCTTTGGTTGACACACACCCCAAGCATCTCCCTCGCTCATGCAGAGCCACGCTCCTGGCCACTCCATCCAGATCCAGTGCCCATGCTTGCATTTGATTCTAGTAGCACTTTGGTCAAGAAATGGAGATGGCTTCTACATCATAAGAAAAGAAAAGGGAGACAGAGATAGAAGAGAAAACCCCAACTGGTCAACCCAGGAGACACCTTGTTCAAATCCAAGCTGGAGCAGAACACGAGCTGAAACTGGTTTCAGACTGCATTTCACCACAAGCAGCTCCTCGAGGGTGGCTTGGATCTATCAGAATAAATAGAAATGCGGTCGTTCAAAGGCCGGGCCCAAAGGCCACCCGTAAAACTCCCATGTTCACCTTCATCATTGGAAGAAGACCCTCACCTGCTGGGCTGTGGCGTTCGCAGGAACTGGCTGGCTAGAGACGTTGCCCCAAGTCAGGAAAAAGTTTCCCTTCCCTGACACGTTCAACATCTAAAAAGTCAAGAGAGTCAGAATCACTGATGTGCAGTGTGCAGGGACTTCAGGCAGAGCGTCAGCCTCAGGAGAGGCCCAGCTCCTCCACGTGCTGTCTCCATTTTACTACCGTTTCAGTCTTCTAAATATGCATGGCTGAGAAACCACTGGAAGACAGTATCACCATCAAATGAAACTTCTCTTGGAATGACATGAATGGTCTATGTTTTGCCTTTCCAAGAGGAAGTGGTATAAAGGTAGCCAACGCACACCTCACCTTTGAGAGTGTGCAGTGTAACGGTGTGGCCAAGGAACACCTCACTTTTGGACCTTCCCACCACATGTTCCCTCAGGAGTGGCCTGAGAGGCAGAAGCCAGCTCATGGCATACCATGGCCTCACAAGCAATCATTCCACCTTGACTGTGCTCCCGCAGCTGTGCTCTCTTGAGCACATTACGCTTTTGAGAGAGGATTAATGAATCACCTGCCCTGTTCTCCTCTTCTCTGTGGTTCTTTGTGCCTGCGTTAGTATTAAACTAGAAGCTGTAGAAGATGGAGTCCACATTGATTCACCTTCGTATAGAAAAAGCGAACAGACAGCATACTGAAGTTGCTCAACATAGAGACAGAGCACAACTAAAAGACCCAAAGCACAAACTCGACAGATTAAACGTATAATGAAAGCACATAGAGAAATGAACTCAGAATGGGTCAGAAGGTCATGGTGCTTCATGTGTTATAAACGTGTGTGTGTCTTGTGTGTTTGTGGAAATGACCTTAACTTACTTAAAGGAATAAGTTTAAAAAGAAAAAGAAAAAATACCTGAGGCTGTGAAGTTGAACATTGGCTACCAGGTTACTCATTAAAAGGATCTGGGTTCACAGCACCCATGTTGTGGTTCACGACTGTAACTACTGTCTCCAGTTGCAGGGAATCCCACACCCTATTCTGTCCTCCACAGGCACCAGGCACACCCATGGTACACAGACATATATTCAGCCAAAATAATCACACATAAAATAAATCTAAAAATAAAAATTAAAGACTTACCTAGAAGTCAAATATTTCATCAATAAATCAACAAAAAAAGATAACCTCAATAACAAGAATGCATTAAAATACATACTCATGAGGCCAGTAAGAATTCTCAGTGAGTCAGAGCGCATGCTGCTGCGCCTGACCACCTGTGCTGGATATTAGAGACCTTGTTTTTAATTGCTGAGTAGTATTCCATTGTGTAGATGTACCACAATTTCTGTATCCATTCCTCAGTTTAGGGGCATCTGGGTTGTTTCCAGCTTCTGGCTATTATAAATAAAGCTGCCAAAAACATGGTTGAGCAAATGTCCTTGCTGTATACTTGAGCATCTCTTGGATATATGCCTAGGAGTGGTATGACTGGATCTTGAGGAAGCACTATTCCTAATTGTCTGAGAAAGTGCCTGATTGATTTCCAGAGTGGTTATACAAGTTTACATTCCCATCAGCGATGGAGTAGGGTTCCCCTTTCTCCACATCCTCTCCAACATGTGTTGTCATTTGAGTTTTTGATCTTAGCCATTCTGATGGGTGTAAGCTGAAATCTCAGGGTCGTTTTGATTTGCATTTCCCTAATGGCTAAGGATATTAAAGACCGATATGGTCAAAGAAAGAACCAATCCCTCCAAGTTGTCCTCTGACCTCCATACATAAGCCTTGAAGCCACATTGGGATATACATAAATAAGTAATGGTTTTCCTAAAGGTAAAGAAAAAATTTTAACCTTGGCAGCACTTTATTTTATATCTGTAACAGAATTGCAATTGCGTCTCGGGTTTCCTTATTTTCTGCCAGCAGTCCTTTCCCCGAGGACGGCTCCACTCTTCCCACGGCTCACTTTCAAGGGTGGAAAGACACACAGACCTGTATTTCTGGAAGTCTCTGGGCTCGGGCTCGGATCTGGTGTTTCTCCAGAAGGTAAGTGTTGACCACATCAGGATTCAGCCACGTGTTGTGGATCTGGACACCAATACTCATGCCCTGGCTGGGTGCTATCCCATGCTGCTCTGCTTCCAAGTAGTACTTGGCTCCGCCCCGCAGCTCTAGCTTAGCAGTCCTCCGCTGCCAGCTCTCTTCGTTCCCGCTCTGCTCCCAAGAGTCAAACCAGTCAGCGATGCCAACCCCAACTGAGGCCACTTCTACCTGTGCCCAAACAAGGCGATCAGGGTCAACACTATGAGTCTTCCACGCATTTTGTTCTCAAATAATGAGCACTTTAAGAGCTGCAAACACGGCATTCTTAGGCACTCTCCAACAACCCAGCCCACTCACTTTGGCCCTTGGCTATATTTGCTTCTCCACTCTTCCCCCTTTCTCTCTCTCAATCGCACAGTATCCGGACTAGAATCTATAAGGTCTAGTCCAGGACAGCCCCTGTCCTAACACCCTATGTCTGTGTGATGCTGTAAAAAGATAGAATTAAACCCTTGAGAGGCCTAGAATGGCGCTAGCTCCTCAAAATCCATGACTCTCTCCAGCAAGCAAATTAGTTTCAGAGAGAATATGAAGAACATTGTGGGTCTCTGCCAAAGGCACGAGTGGATGTGGGCGGCTTTCTAAAAGTACGAGGCTGATAGAGGATCCCTACACAACGCTAACCCAAACAGCGGGAAGAGCACAAGTTTTTGAGTCAGACCAATCTGATTCTGAATTGTGAATACTTCTCTTATTAGTCAAGCAGTTTTAAACAGGCCATACAGCTCTTCAAAACCTCAGTTTTCTCCTCTAGACAGTGGAACTATGCCTGTTTCACAGAGATAAATATTATTAGCAAGGTTGTAAAATGTAGCATAATCCTGGGCTTATAATACCACTGTTGTCAATTCACTTTCAGCAATTAATGTCCATGCTCAACCAGTACAACATGGCGCTTCACAGCTGTAGAAGGGGGAAGCCTTATCTTTGATCCTTTCTTCTTTCAGGGGTAAGGGTCTGTGAGGAAAGGAAAGGCAATGCAGAGGAAGTGAATACCTTAGTCCTTGGCTCCTCTGAACAACTGAAGCGCAAGGAAGCCTGGCTGTCTGCCTGGATCCAGAATGTGTAATTGTTTGTCTCTGGAGCCACAAAGAACCCACTGAGTCGTGCTCTGGAACACAGGAGAAAAGAGTCAACCAAGACTAAACAAGGTCTGAATCACTGAGAAGTCATAGCAGCCCTTGGACTTATCTCCTCATTATGGAACCACCACAGGATTATTCTTAGGATTGGAGAAAAAGCAAGCACACCTGCATGAGCTCAGCACCTCAGCCTCCACACACCTACAAATCACTGCAGCTGTACCATCCCTCAAACAATCGATGACCACAGCAGAGGACAACGTGGACGCGTGGCTGAGAAGACAACTTATCTCCAAAGTAGGTGTAGAATTACAGGAAATACAGGTTTTACATGTTGGCCAGTATTTGATTGTGCACTACAAAATGTTATATGATCAGCAGAATGACCAACAGCGGCTGAGAACATTGTCAAACACGCCTCATGTTGAACTGGCTCATGTGACAAACGATCCCCTAGAAATACCTTTGCTTTCTTTCCTGGGTCCTCACTCACCTAAGTTAGTAGATATATTTTTGTTATGTATTCCTACTTTAGCTACAAAATACCTGAAAGGTCGCCCTTCTTCTGACCAAAATCCGGATGGAGAACTGGCATTAGGGACTATCTGCCACCTATAACCTGGAGTGATTTCAGTCAGTTCCACATCCTTAACAGCCTCTCCAACTTCAAAAAGAAGTCCTCGATTGCCTGTAAGACACATATGACCTATAGTCAACTCAAACCCCACTCAGATCACAGGGTGAATGGCATTGCCGATGCTTTCTCGGATGGTGTGTTGCCAGAGACCAAGATGGGATGGTCCTATGAGAGATTCTATAGATACTGGGAACTTTCTAGAAAGAAAAATTCCCTGGGTAGAAGTTAGCCAATTAGAAAGACCAACCTGATGAGAAACATTAAAGAGAGATGTTCTCAGAGGACAGAGGGTAGGAGGAAGCCTTTTTAGCTTCCATGCCACAGAAGAAGGCCCAGTCCTGGAGAGGACATGAAGGAACAAATGATGCTGTTCTAAAAGGTGGCCTGTGTAATGATAACATGGGACATTGCCTGACTTTGTGCCTTCTGAGGCGGGATATGAACTCGAAAACCTGTTTAAGCCCACAAGTTCCGTTTCATAAAATTTCCTTTCCCAAAAAAAGATGCCAATCCTTCAAGTTTCCAAGTAGCATGACTTCAATTTATGGACAAGTCAGGGCCATAACTTCATTATGTGGCACTTTAACAGAAGTTGTACTTATTAATTTATACTTTATATTAAGCAAACCTTGAGGCAAAAGGCATGTGTGCATCCATATTGGATACAAATTTTGATCAATATCAGATAATCATCTTGGATGGGCCCATAGACATACGTAACTGTGTATTCCGATTCTAGCTCTACTAGAATCTACTTCACATCTACCCTTTACTAGATGTGAAATTCAGGGGCATTCCTCAATGACTCATTCACTCATACATCAAAACAGGGCTGATAATAACTAGAAACAATATGCAAAGACTAAAGGGATCTAGAAATAGAGTAAGTACTCAATAAAGGATGTCTATGATAACTCTTATTATAAACTACTATTTTGCTCCCCGTTGGTCCCTAAGATGGATAGTAAATAAGGAATAAGCAGAGAATTAAAAGCATGTTAAGAAAATTGACTTTAATTCTGGGATTCCCAACCTCTACACTGTTGCTATTTTAGTTTGGGTAGCTTTGTTGTTGGGTTTTGCTAGGCACTGTGGGATGGGCTGCACCCTTGGTTTCTACTCATTAGATGCTATTAGCGTCTTGTCCCCTGAGGACAAGAAATCAGCCACGTTGGAGAAACACTGCTTTGAGTGGTGTTCTGCCCTACTTTCACAGGGCAAACCTCCAAAGCTTTTCAGAAAGGGCATCACTGATTCAAATAGCTGCTTTCCGGAAATGATCCCACCACGACTATAGCAGCTAAAGCAGGAAACACTCAATAAGGGAACCACGTTCTGTTTCCTGACGCAGGAAACACACTTTCTCTTTATTACTTGTTTCAGTACTTTCGTCTCCTTACATACACACTGTGAATCTGGGAGTGCCAGAATTCTCAAGCCAGAGCTTTGCATTTGTCACTACACAGCAAAGGCCTGCCTCTAGGAAGGTTTCACTCCTGCAGGGCAATTTTGCTTACAGCCTTTCGAATTGACTCACTACATCTCTGAGCATTAGGTCAGTGCCTTACCCACAGAGCAGCAGCCTGTGGTTCTCAACAGAGCAGCATGCCAACCTCCCTTATCCTTAACTGCGCTGGAGCCTCCAGTGCTAATGCCTAGCAGGAAACGCGGTAGCTTCAAACAAAGCCGGACAGGTGGAACCTGCTGCCTTGCCGCCTCCATTTCTGCCTACTAAAGGCAGATGCTGGTGGCCATGTCAGAGCACATCCCCATTTGTGATATCAGCAGGAAAGTGGCCCCGGGGGAAATAAGCAGCATTTAAATATACCGCATCGTGCCTTGCTCTATGACCTACCTACTGCTGCTGCTATGAGCACAAAGAGGCATGCTCCACTGCTCCTGTCTCCTCAGCCCATAAACACACAACCATCCTACCAAATGCAGAGAGGCAGTTTGGGGATTCCATTCGGTAGCCATTCTGGGTGCTAGTTACATTCTGCCTGAAGTCTATTGTTCGGACATATGGCGGGGGCTAGGAATGCAGTGCCACTCTGCAACTGAATGACTCTAAGATGTTCCCTGATATGAAAGGCTTGACCATGACATTGGGAAACCAATCAGTCACACTGCTGAGACCGAACTCAAATATGTTTCCTTCTGCTTTCTGGCTCCTTGAAGCAAAGCATGCCAGTAGAGAGTATACTGAGAAGCCCTAGGGTCTTCCTTACCTGCCTGAGGAGCAGTGAGCCTTGCTCCTTTTCCTGGAGCCCTGGTGGTGCACTCAATCTTCCTGGGAGACACATGTCTAATGTCACATGGAATTCCTAAGGAGAATTTTCAAATTTCATAAGTATACATGTAAATAAAGACACACTCTTACACAAATGTACACATAAAAATCTACACACATACACCAAATACATACATACATGTATGTATGTTTCAAATGGAAGAAAACTTCCCCTCACAACCATGAGCCATAAGGGATGCACATCCCTACAGCATTTAAAACTGAACCATTTTCAGCCATTTTAGCATAATTACCTGCAATGGTAACCTGGGCAGAAGAGTCAAAGAAATCCCCTGTAATGGTGATATCTGTTCTTCCCCCCAGGCTCCCAACTTTTGGAAACACAGAGAGGATTTCTGCAAGAGTTTATTAAAAAAAAAAAAAAAACATAAGCTTCTAAATATATAATGTGATGTGCCCCTGAAAATAAGAGAAACCATCAACACTTAATTCTTATACTTCAAGTTGAGCAGCAGTTGAAAGTTTTTCTAACAGTCATTTTACACGCACATAATAACAAAGGGACTATAAATATATATTATATGGGATCAGTAGTTAGAAGGAAAGTCACACACAGCATCAGCAAGGGCCTCTGCATCCCTTATGCATTCTTATGCAATCTGTCCTTCACATCAAGAGTTTAGTTTAACATCAGGGAGGAGTAGGCTACACCACATGGAGGAGTCAATAGATGCACTGAGTGGGGTTTTGGTTACCCAGTCTTTACTTCTTGCCCATGCTGCAGGCTTCCTCCCCAGGCACATGCAATGTCTCACCCACACTCTTTCCCAGCTGAGTCCAGTATGTTGCAATGTGAAGCATACTCACAAGGGTTTTGTTACCCTTTCCTTAAAGACTATAATTGTGTGTAGATGTGTAGAAGGGGATGAATGCAGGACTAGCAGATGCCAGAAGAGGGCATCAGATTATCTCGGGGCTGAGATGCCTCATGTGGGTGCTGGGAACTGAACTGGGTTGGTTATTCTCCAAGTTCAGCATGCACTCTTAACCACCAAGGCATCTCTCTCGTCCTTTCTTTAAATATTTACAGTTAAAAGATTTGGTTCCTTTCAGGTGAGAGAAAAAGTTGTGCTCCTTGATAAAATAAAGGTAAACTTATATGTATTTATACTATAATGTATAGTAGACATATATTCAAACATGACATATATAAAATGTATTTATACAGGTGCTGGTCATGAATAGTTACAACTTCAAAATAGGGATAATTTTTTAATTGCTTTGCTACTTGACATCTTCATACATGAATAAGGTGCATTCTAATTACCCTCACCTCCCACACTCTCAACACCCATCCCTCCCTAAGAATCCTTGCCACACATTCAAGTCTTTTTGTTTGGTTTGTTGACCCACTGATTCTAGCAAAGGTCATCTGCTTGACCACAGATTTATTCCCATCCACTGGAACTTGATACACTCATCAACAGGTCCAGAACTGAAGACAATAACTCCCCCTCTCCCAGGATCTTTCAGGATCCAATAACTAAACAGAGAGGGATAAAACCTCATGAAACCCTTCACCTCCATAACTAATGGTTAACAGGCCAGTCTTGTGCAGGTCCAGTGTAGGTAACTGGCTGCTCTGAGTTCAAGACTACAGTGACTATACTATGCCCAGAAGGTGGCATTCATATCCCTTCTTCCTGTCTCTGGTTCTTACATTCTTTCATGCCCTCCTCCATGGTCTTTCCTTAGCCTTGGGGGAAGTCATATTATTTAGAGCTGAGCACTCTGCTGTCACTCAGCATCTGGAGCAGCAGCGGGTCTCTGCATCCACTATTGTTCACTGGGAAGAGAGGCTTCCTAGCCTTTAAACACAGCTGTACATGGTATAATCTTTTTCACCATTCACACTGCACCTGTTCCATTACACCAGAAAGATAAAGATGAATTCAGATGAGTCCCTTCCTTCAAGCAGGTGAGTGTGCCAAGAAAGTGTCTGTGTATGGGCGTATAATTACAGTAGGTAATTACATACAGGTAAGCAAAATTTAAAAGGCTATGAAGTAGAGAAAGGCTTAGGAGTGGGCTGGGGTACAGACAAGAAAAACAAAACGTTCTGGAAATGATATCTGAACTGAGTCTTAAAGGATGGGTTTAAGCTGACCAAAGAGTGAAAAGAATGAAGGTGTACACCTACCGATAGTCCCAGCACTGGGAAGGCTGGAGCAAAAGCATAACAAATTCAAGGCTAACTTAGGTTATATAGTAAGACTGTTTCAGAAAGAAATTATAAAAAAAATAACTGACTACATTAGAGCAAGAATAACATTTAAAGCAAGTAAGAGCCAGAATAGGAAAGAAGGTTGCACAATGCATTTTAGGGTTGCCAGAATATACAGACAGAGGGGAAAGAGAGACGGGAAGAGAGAAAAGAAGAGAAAGAGGAAAATGAGCTTGAGAAGCACATAAGGAAGAGGTAAAGAAGTGGGCTATTTCTCACAGAAGATGTGAGTCCTCTAGAGCCACAGTTCTGAACCTGTGAGTTGTGACACCTTTAGGGGTTGAACAACCATTTCACAGGGGTCACCTAAGACCATCCTGTATATCAGATATTTGCATTACAATTCTTAACACTAGCAAATTACAGTTATGAAATAACAATGAAAAAACTCTGTGGTTGAGGGTCACCACAATATGAGGAACTGTATTAAAGGTCGCAGCATTAGGGAGGTTGAGAACCATTGGATTAGAGAATGGACCAGGTGAAGAAGTGCCAGGTGTTTGCTTGAAGTAGACATCACTGCTGGCTGTGTGGAACATGGATCTTCAGGGGACAGATGTCAAGTCAGACTCCCTAAGAAATCTCTAGAGCACGCTATGCCAGAGATTATGGGGCCCCAAACTGCCCAGCTGTTAAAAAGATAAAATAGATGTGTCAGCCAGGTGTAATACACTCCTTTAATGCCAGAAATTGGGAGGCAGAGGCAGGCAGACCTCTGATAAATGTGTGATTCCATGAGGGTGATCATAAAAAGAGCAGAGAAATGTTGGGTGAATTCAAAAATTCTTCCTCGCCAACTACTTTGGACAATCTTTGAAAGTGAAAGATCAAGCACCACATTATTCCTTTCACATGAGCTGAACCTAGCTCAGAAAGGCTTAGAAGCTTAACCACACTGGACTGGTTACCGTGTGCTAGCCTGAAGAGGCTCAGCTCCAGACTCTTAAGGATTCTCTATATCCTTGGGGATTCCTCCACTATGAAAATGCTCGGGCCTGTGAGTCATACATCCCAAGAAATGTATGATCACAGAAACTGTAAGCCTTCCCATCTGGACTGGAAACCACAGCAGAATCGTGGAATCCTGAGTTAGGGCAGAAGAGGCAGCATGCTTCCTAAGGGGTGTTGGTTATATGCATGGGGGTTATAATTTGCAGGGACCTTAGGTAGCGTCATGCACCCCCTCTTAATCTGTTTTCTCAATAGTCACACAGGGCAGTATTTCCTATTCTTTAGCTCAAAAAAATGAATGTTGGGATTATATGCTGAACACTCATCCAGGATTAAACTGCCTTGTTGCTCATGTCACTGTATCCATGGGTATGGGTTCTTCTTCACACCTATTCTCAAACACACCAGGTTTAAAGACAAGAAGGGCAAGGGTCAAATTCAGCTCCAGCAGGATGGGCTGCCTGGAGAATAAATCACGTTTGTCCCATGACCTGGGGGATGATAGCTTTCTCTTTTAGAAAGGCAGTTTTCGTTGCTTCTGAAATCTGAACCTACCTCACAGTCATGTTTTCAGTGGCTTTGTGGTGGACACTGCAAGCTCTCTTTAGCTAGCCAACCGCCTGCTAGTGAACTGAGTTCACAATTTTGTGTGAGTTTCCAATTTTCAGAGTTCATCTTTTAGTATCAGAGCTTGCCCATCAGAGGGCCACACTGTGCTTAGCTTAGCATCAGAATAGGTAAGTCATAAACCACTGAATGAGTGCATATATGCAGGGATGGGCTGGGAGAATAACCAGAAGGAAGTGCCACCTTCCTCCTGTTACTTTTCAGAACATAGAAGGCACAATGCCTGTTTATTTCTTTCATTCTATAGCCACAGACTTTGTATAGAAGTCTACAGTCAAGCTTCTTTGAATACAGTCAAAAGCTGCTTGACAGTGCATCAGCCAACAACAGATCACATCTTCATCAGTTGCTCCATAAGACTGTACTGGTGCTGGAAACTTGCCATGGAGTGACACCAGCAAGGCTACTGCAAGGACATAGACATATACTGTAAGGACATTTTGGTTCCTGCAAAGCTACTATGCTGCCATTGGAGGAGGATGAGAGAAGGGAATTGAAAACAAAATGACTAAAAATTGTTATATAAACTATGAAACAGTAATAAAGTGTCAAAAATTAACACAAAAGTGCAACATAAATATGTACAATCTATACTTAATAATAATTAATTGAACTTACCTTTATCTGATTATTATATTATACTATTTCTATGCTTGTCCTGTTATTTTATAATGGAAAATAAAATAAAATAAAAAGTTGCTTACAAAATAAAGAGTTCACTGAAAAACAGTATGCTGTGTTATACTGACACCAGCTTCATGCATGGCATGTTTATTTCATCTCTTGCTTGCATCAAGAGGCCATAATTCATGACTGAGCTACAGCATCTACATTTGCGTGCAAGCAAGCTGTGAAGAAAGTGCAAGAACTAAGGCACTTAATGATGCATTTTTCAGAACATCAGTAAACAATGCAGGATTATAAGCACCAAAGCTGACACAAATACAAGCAACTTAATTTCAGCCAGAACCAAAAGGTCATGCTAATGGCCACAGAGAAACTTCCAGAAGAAAAGGAAAGTCTAACTCTGAGTGCACTATGAGGGAAAGGATGACGAAGAAGGGATGAAGGGAGAGAGTACCTGAGTATGTCTGGTACAAGAACAGGGCCTGCTTCGCACTGATCAGCCAGGCTTTCTTGTGCACAATTGACCTTCAAAGGAAAATAAAGGCTTTTGATAAGATGTCACCTACATTTGTGTTTTTAAAAATTGACTGCTTAGAAGGAAGTTCACAGAATAACCTCCAGTATGTTTAACAACTTGAACACCAGCTCCTTTTGATAACGCAAAAGCAGTATCAGTGGATTCAAGCTTGTTTTCTCGTAGATAAAATTATTGTACTGAAATAATCTCTATTTTATAGGATGTCATCAATGTTAAATGCAACAGTAAATATAAATGGGACTGATACTGAGCTAATGTACACTAGATAATAGATTCCTATAATACGTAAGTGGATACTGTAGATTCCCATACTGAAAAGACAGATACCAGAGATTCCTACAATAGAGTAGATCAGTTTTGTTCTTTTTTTTTTTTTCAAGTTCTTCTGTAAATGATGTTTATAAATGATGTTTATCATGGAAGACAATTCCCATTATATGCTCAGTTTGTTAAGATTTTCTTTTTTTAATTATTTTTTTACACTTTATTCACTTTGTATCCCTCCATAAGTCCCTCCCTCCTCCCCTCCCAATCCCACCCTCCCTTCCCCTTCTTCACTCATGCCCCTCCCCAAGTCCACGGATAAGGGAGGCCCTCCTCTCCTTCCTTCTGATCTTAGTCTATCAGATCACATCAGGAGTGGCTGCATTGTCATCTTCTGTGGCCTAGTAAGACTGCTCTCCCCTCAGGGGGAGGTGATCAAAGATCAAAGGTGACCAATCAGATTGTGTCGGAGGCAGTCCCTCTTCCCATTACTATGTAACTCACTTAGACACTAAACTGCCATGGATTACATCTGCGCAGGGGTTCTAGGTTATATCCATGCCTGGTACTTGGTTGGAGTATGAGTCTCTTGGAAGACCCCTGTGTTCAAATCTTCTGGTTCTGTTGCTCTCCTTGTGGAGTTCCTGTCCTCTTCATAATCTACTATTTCCCACTTCTTACATAAGATTCCATGCACTCTGCCCAACAGTTGGCCATAAAGTCTCAGCATCTGCTTTGATAGTCTGCAGGGCAGAGTCTTTCAGAGGCCCTCTGTGGCAGGTTCCTAGGCTGTTTCCTGCTTTCTTCTTCTTCTGACGTCCATCTTCTTTGCCTTTCGGGATGGGGATTGAGTGTTTTAGTCAGGGTCCTCTCTCTTGATTAATTTCTTTAGATGTACAGATTTTAGTAGGTTTATCCTATAAGACTATATGAGTGAGTATATACCGTGTGCGAGTTTTGTTCTTGAGGGGAAAGAAAGAGACAACAAATCCATACTTTGAGCTGTGCACTTATATGTAATGGATTGATATAATCACAGTCAAATTAATTTCAAACAATGAATGCATTTTTAAGGGCAAAAACTTCTGCCAGAACAAGAAGTAGGGCACACACACAGAAATCCAGAATCCTAATTTATCTGTGTCTCCGAAGAATGATGAAATGTGAACTCTCTATTTTGAAAAAGGCAAGTCCTATAATGATGCAGCGTGCCTCTGGAAACTATTACCTATAACACCCATGACAGCTACAGATTTCACTGCACTTAAGGCCTAGTTCCTAAAATTCTGTGATGCCTCTGTGATGCCCAAAGGTAAGACAGAACAATGCTCACTCAAGGGAGAGAAATCATAGGTGTGGGGGATTTGCTATATCCTACTGGTGTATGGTTGAAATTGTAAAGGTTAAAGACAGTGCCCAGGAGGTTACAGATGACACCAGACACAGGCAGATTTGTCTGCCCTGGTTACTCACCTCCCTTTGTTAAATACTGAGAAACTAACATTCTGGGAACCTGAAACACAAAGATACAGACATGAGTCTAGGACTGAGCATGACTCTCCTGGGCCAAGACATTGCTACCTTAGGCCCACACCTATAACATCATCATTACTTGCCACACCTGGAATCTCTTTCAAGTTGCCCAGGTAAATACTTCAGAGGCTTTCATGAAGAATTGGACACAACACATGTATGACAAATAAAAGCCCTGTGCCTAGATTTAGATGAGGCATGATTTAAATCCTAATGTCAGCACAAGTTGACATTATCAACACAATCATTTGTAAAGTGAAATTACTGATTATGACAATTAAATTAGTTTACAATGAAGATGTTTGTGTGGTTTTTTTTTTTTTTTTTTCAGAAGTTATTTTGGTAGCAGTTGTTATTAGTCACAGGAATACCATATAGGGAATATGTTTTTGTTTGCCTTTCTGGATACCAAGGAAGAAACTATCTTCTCTTAGGTGATAGTTCTAAAACAGACCAATGTAATCGCCTTCCACACGGCACTGCACAGTCCCAAGGCCTTGTTCCTCCTGGATGGGAAAACTGAGGGGGGAAAAACATGCTGAAGTAAGAATAACCAGGCAATTGCTGAAAATTCTCAGCTCTGTAAAGAAAGCAAATATATAGGAGCCAAAATAGCCAGAAAAAAATCTGATACATGCTGAAGGTATGTATAGTAAGATAATCTATAGAATAATGCCAACCGGAGTCCTCAAGCCCCATGCCAAATTCACAGTGTGGGCACAGTCTGGCAAACAAAGGTCAACTTACTCGTGGTTTCTGTTTCGTGTTTTTTTTTTCTTTTCAAAATCTGTTTTATGACAAACATAATAAAACCTAACAAAAGATGTGAACCAAAAACAATCTCAGGCTAACTGAAGACACTAGAAAGAAACTACAGTACAGAATTCGGTTCCACTAAATACTCATCCCAAGAGGGCAGGCCACAGCACACAATTCTTGTTACAGCCTCAAAGGAAAATTAACTCATCTAGTTGAAAGTTAAGTAAAAATCCTGCCAAATTGTGGCAATAATACCTAGAGTGTAGAGACACTCATTTTTAAATGTTTCAGGATGGGACTTTGTGTGTACAATACTAGCCATAGCTAGCTCTGAGTTTGATTAAGAAGGCCTGTCTGTTTGAACAGGATTGGAAGTCAAGCTATTACGATTCCATACATTAAATGTGAGCTACCTGAATGTACACGTAAAGCCTCATACATACATGCCCACACACATGTAAGCATGCACACACATGCATGAACACCAGAAGTTCATTAAAAAGGGGAAAAAACATGTTTCAAGCATTGTTTGATTTCCTTGTCATTATAGGTACAGTGGTAGGAGATAGATTCTGAAGGCTGCTTGGTCATAAAGAATTACAGGCTCCAGTCTGCTGCATGATCTCTATAAAACCCAGTCTCATCTGCAAAGAGAGACTAATAACCACACATATAAAATAACTGGCTGATTTCAGTGTAGAGCATTGGCCAAGTGTTGGTGTGGAGCCTTTAATAAGTAGTGCCTCGCTATTTTCACAAAAGGCTTTAGATTCTACTTTATTTTTTACTTTCCACTGATACTTTCATCTTTTTCCTGTAAGTCTAAAAATAAGAGAGATAACTATTACAAGTGATTTATAGTTTTTTTTAAGTGATGGTTGTATGTGTATACGGTTATCATATAGAACAAACTGAAAGCACACATAAGAAAACAATAACAGCAAAAAAAAAAAAAAAATACTCACCAGCTTCCTGTCTGCCTATTTATAAGAGAACAAGGAGTAAGCCATTTGTCTCCTTCAGCCTCCAGGATTAATGGGCTGTATTGATGGGCAAAGAGAAAAAACAAAGACAAGAAACGCTAATGCAGTGTTCCCAGTAAACATGGTTGCCAAAGGCAGAATGTTCTGAACTTTCTCCTCTGGACCTGTGGGGTACCATTGTGGGGGCTCGGTGGAGACTCTTACTTTTCTCTCAGGGAATAGAGGTACCCTCATAGCCCATGATTCTGCATTGTACATGGAGATTTTACCCTTTCTCCATATTTGGTCTGCACAGTTATAGAATTTGTGTCTTAACTACACCTTTAAAAGTTGGATCCCAGACTGAGGCTAAGATAGGACCAAGCAGTAAAGACAGCACATTGGCTAAGGATATACTTGGACTTTCTTTCCCCCAGTAAAAGTTATTATTATTATTATTATTATTATTATTATTATTATTATTATTATAAAATGAAGTTGACAACTTCTTAATGATAGAAATGGAGGGAAGAATCAAAAAAAATGTGAGAAGCAAAGAAACTGCCTCTAAGATATTCAGGGGTGAAGAAAAACTTAGAACCAGTGTGTAGACACCATACAGTTGGGTAAATTATAAATCTTCACTATATAAGGATATGTTGGGGGACATCAGTTGTCCAAAGCTTCTTGTGAACTCTGGTCTTCCTCTCCCAAACACGGATGATTTCATAGTAACATTCTATACCTCTAACATATCCATGAGGAACGTCACGTTCACAAGCATTACACACTACCACGCTACACAGCTCGTACTGCCTGAGCCCACAGACGGTCTCTCCTCTGTGCCTGAGCCCACGGTTCCCTCTCACCTCACCAACAGGACTTCTGAATGAACAATGGGTAATAACCAACTAAAAAGAAAGCTTAATAGACTTTTGTGTTTACGCATCACTTTAGAGAGAATTCACTTTACCCTCAGAGCGGCGGGAAGGAAAGGAAAGAAAAGGACCAGTTATAGCACTGTTCACAGAGAACCCAGTCTCTACCTGTCAGTAGGACCAACCTAATCTGCCAGCTGCAATCACGTTCACAAAGGGAAAGCTGAAATCTGGCGCGCCAAGGACCATAAACTGCATAGAGGAAAGTAGCAGCTCTGTGTTCTGCAGTTTGCTGCTGTAATAGAAGCTGGCCCCGGGGTGCCATCAAGCACATATGTAACCAGGTGAACACAGGAACAAACAGGCTTACCTGTCGATGTAGTCCGCATCAGGATCAAACGTTTCCAGCCGGTCAGTGATGATCCAGCCATACACGTGTATTAGTTCTCCTGTGTCACAAAGAGTTCAAACCATAACGTGATTGGCTCCAACTCCAAACATATAGCATAAATTCTGCTTGGTTTTGGTTTGGTCCATATATCCAACAAGGCACAGGGGTATAACACTAACATTTTTAATAAACCATATAAATGTAAAATGAGTGCCGGAACCCAGTGGTCAGGGTTACACACTAGAAAGGCTAAAATAATATACTACCTAAACATATTGATCACATGGAAGTTGAGTGTACTTGCCGTAGGCTGGGAAGAATCAGTGAGAGGGAGGGATAAGAAAAGGTTGACCAATGACGGCTAAGTTCCAGTTAGATAGGAAAAATTAGTCCTGGATTCTGTTTCACAATTAGATGACATCAATGTATTTTGTTTTAAAAATCTAGATTTTGAGTGTCTTCAAAAATAAGGGCTATGTTCGAGGAAACAGATATGCATATTTTGATATGAATGTTATACAATGTATGCACACATTGAACATTATATGATATCCTATATGTGGTGTGTGTTATATTTCATATCTCTCAACCCTCATCAGAGAAGCTTCTTTTGGCAGTAGATGGTAATTAAAACAGAGATTTACAATTGTACAACTAGTAAGGGTTATAGAGTACTTAGCGCTATTCTATTTGGGGATACCCATATTATACACACACACACACACACACACACACACACACACACACCAGGCACCAGGTGCTTAAGGGTCATTGTGGAAAAGGAGATTAAAAAAAGTTGTAAGAGCAAAAGACCAGGATGATGATTAGGAAAAACAGCATTCTCCAGACACAATGGGGCAGTTGCATAAATGTTCAGTGCTTATGCACAAAATCTGTGCATGCTCAAAGCATACAAAATCCCACCATGGAGTAAGAGAGGTTAGCATGAAACTCTACCCCTAAACATGGAACTATTGGCAATTTGAGACTTCTGGGTGAGGGAGAGTCAATTTTCTTTAAGAGTGTGGCCCCTGGTAATTCAATCATGCTTTGATGGAAGACCACACACCCAAGAGTATATGGGCAGCACAAATTGTATTTGGTGTGTGTGTGTGTCTGTGTGTGTGTGTGTTTGTTTGCGCATTTGTTTGTTTGTTTATTTGTTTGTTTGTTTGTTTTAAGGAAATAAAAAATGTAAAACTGTATAGGTAGGAAAGGGAGTAGTGAACCTGGAAAGAGTATGAAGAGAGGATAAATGTGGTAAAAATATGTTGTGTGAAATTCTCAAAGAACTAATATAATTGCATAAATAAAATTTTAAAAAAACACAGGAAGAGGCTCCATCACACATTCTAATTAGTCTTCTGGGATCCTAATTAGTTTCCATATCTTAAAGTACAAAAGATAAAAGTCCATCGTGAGCCTAATGGACAGGAAATAAAAACAAGCACAAAACAGCAAGAGAGTTAGGGCTGAAGTTTGGATAACAGGCCTATGTTGCTCACTCAGCAAAGACTGGGTAAGCCATGTATGATGTCATATACCTATAAGCCCATGATGATACTCATGATGATCTGGCAGTAAAAATATCATAAGCTAGCTTCCCAGATGAGAGAGGTGTCTGTTAATCCAGTAAAACCTCAAAACTTGGGAGAAAAAGTTATCTCTGGGGTGCTTGGGGTTGCTGCATCCAGAAAACTTGGAGTGTCCTCATGAGCACTGAAAGCTGCTGAACAACATCATTATCTGTGTATTCTCTTCATGCTGTTCTGTGGGTCATTAGTAAGAGGGGACTTCCATCTGTGGTCATCGTGTGCCTAGCACTGAACCTTTCAAGTGAATGAGGAGACATCGTGCCATCTTAATGATGGAGACAAAGGTTTCCGGAAAGAATGGAACCTCAAATTCCCTGCGGCTGCTGCGGCTGCTGCTGCTGCTCCTGCTGCTACTTCTGCTGCTGCTGCTGCTGCTGCTGATGATGATGATGATGATGATGCTAAAAAATGGCTATTTAATGTGCCAACAAAGCAACATCATTGGCTTCCTAGCCCTATGAGAAGCACACATACATACACACACACACATATATTTTATAGATACATACATCAACAAGCTTTGTTACATGCCTCTTGAAAACAAATACTAGATTACAGAAATTAGAAAGTCCTGTGGGCTCTTTGGTTGTTTGTTCCTAAACAAAGACGCCGGGCAGAGGCTGACAAATGGGCAAAGTAGAACACGGTCCCCGGGGATTCCGCGTCACAGTGAAGGACTGTTAAGCACATACAGAAATCCAACTACCCATAAAATCAAACCGGCTCTTCTGTAGCTACCTCCTCCCGCACATCCCTGGCTGCTACTCTGGGCAAGCTTCCCAAATGAAATGAGAGTAATTGTCTAGAAAGTGATTGCGAAGATGCAGCCATGTGGATCGTGCCTTGGGGGACCACTCTGACAGGGCCAGCCACCAAACGTTACCCCCAAAGGTGGAAGCGACAGTGTGCAGAACTCCACCTCAGCGAGACAAGCAGGTGTGACAGGTCTGGGGAGCAGCTGACAGCCCACGTCACATCTCTCTCAGCTCCTTATTCAGCCCTCATCAGGATAAGATTTCTTCCCCCTGCACTGGGGCTTCCCACATACAATAGGCAGGAACTCATATGTCTGCTCATAATTTTCACACTTCACATTCTTTTTCATAAAACATGATCATGCCTTGGTTAATCTGGGAAAGCCTTCTGCAGGAAGAAAATGCCAAATTCTTGTTCTCTGGAATACAGTTTCAGTACACACATACATACATTGTATTGACACGCATGCCACAATTTACAGACATTGTCTGTAACGTAGATACTCATCCTGATTATCTGGACCAGTTAACAACATCAAAAAATTAGATCACATGATGCACTCTGACATAATCATACCTAAAGCTGGCCCCTTGACCTGGCAAGATGGGTCAGTGGGTAAACAAAGGCACTTCCCCTGGAGCATGATGACTTGAGTTTCATCCCTGGGCCCACATGGTAGAAGAAGAGAACCAAAACCTGAAAGTTCTCCTCTGACCACCATGTACCAACTGTGGCACGTGTGTTCATGTACACCCTACACACATGCACACACACTGATAATCAGTATAGCAGTAAATGTAACATATACACACACTAGTAACTAGTATAGAGGTAAATGTAATAATTTTTAATTAGCAACTATGTTCACTTATGTATGCCTTTCTGGAAATATAGAACAAATAAAATACACTATACATGTGTGTGTACATGCATACATACAGTAATTTGCCAATAAAAAGATAGCAAAGTAAACACACACACACATATATATATACATACACAAAGCCGTGTTTATTATTTGATTTTTAGGAAGACATACAACGTTACTAGACCTATTGCTCAGAGTGTCCTCTTCTTCTATGTAAATCCCTTATCTTACATAACCCCCTCCTCTTCCACTCTCCTAGCTCTAAGATTCATGGGTTTCATCTTTTCTGACTCTTTTGACTATGATCAAGTACATTTGTCCGTGCTTTCTCTTAACTCATGAACAAATTCTCTTGATAAACATCAGGGCTAATAGTGCCCCGAGTTGTATCCAGTACCAGTTCACGAACCGAAAAATGGGTATGGACCCAGTTTTGTCTCAATTCAAATCTCAGCCACACTGCTTTTAATTGATAGAATTTTAGAACAGCGGTTCTTAACCTGTTGGATGCAAACTTTCTTTTTTTTGGTGGGGGGGGATAAACAATCCTTTTGCAGGGGTC